CAACCCAGACCCCAACCCACACCCACACCCCAAATCAGACCCCAACACCAGCCCCAACCCCTACCCATACCCCAAACCAGACCCCAACCCCAGCCTCAACTCCAACCCACACTTCAGTCCAGACCCCAACCCCAGCTCCAACAACTCCAACTGCAACTCCAGAGAAGCCCGAGGAGCCCTCGACCCTTAGCAAGCAGAGTGAGTGGATACCGAGAAGAACCATCCCATTAGCACTCATCAGAGTGGGGCTTGGCTGGGCTGGATTTTCTAGGCCTCTGTTGAACAGGATATAGGCAGTGTAGACTGGTAGCCATAAAGAGGAGATATGTTGCCAAGGTGAGGCCAGCAGAAGTTTCCATGATATCATGCCATCACACTTTATGTGAGTCTCAGCCAAAGTTCTCAGACTTGTGCCTTCCCTCTCTCTTCCATAGTAGCATCCTACATCCCTCTATTCAAGTCATGTCATTGGCTTCTGCTCTCAGAATTCACAGTCTCGCTTGGAAACCAGACTGAACACTGAACAGTGGGTACCTGATAGCCGTCACATTTGAAAGGTGCTAGAAGCGTTCAGAGGATAAACTAGGGACCATCAGGGAAGTCTGAGAAGGATTCCTAACAGATCCATTAGATTAGATGTTCACCAATAGAAAGGGAGAACATTCTAGACAAAAATACTTAGATGTTGAAGAATGAGGAAGGTGTTTTATGTATGCTCTGGGAACAGCTGGATCGCTGAAGGTGGTGGCAGTGGCCCAAGACCCTGCTGGGACAGCCAGTGCCTTCCTAGCTACAGCTTCTGGCCATTCTCAAAGGGTCCTATTTGGTTCCATGTTAGCTCAGATCAGGCCATATGCTAGGAACCACCAGCACAGTCTTGCTCTGTGTGTGTGTGTGTGTGTGTGTGTATCTATCCGTGTGTCCATGTGTCTGTGTCTGTGTGTGTATACATACACATACTCGAGCTGATCACAAGCCCCAGCCTTTGAAAAGGAGGCATACTTGGAAAGAAGAGAAGCCACACAAGTCTCCATCACTACAGGTGCAGGCAACAAATAGGCTTGTGTGACTCACACATTTGAAGATTGGTCGCTAATATAACAGCTTGCTGGAGAACCCAAATACCATTCAGTGTGTGTAATGTATGGGATCTTAGACAGGCAACAGTGTGAAGCTCAGAATTCTGCCCAGCACAAACCTTCAGTGAGATCCCATCGCTACTTTGTGGAATGCAACCCCATTCAGTCCTACAAAGCCACCTGGTACCAGAGTTCTTGATGAGTGACCCAGGGACCCCAAGTCTATGTGCTTCTGTGAGCTGGGTGAGTGTGCTTTTCTAAAGAGACCTATGGCTCCTGGTTGGTTGTATAAACAGACTCAAGTGTGCTCACCTTCTGGTTGAGGAATCTGAGACCCCAAGCAGTTAAGTCCCCTCCCCCAAGGCTCTGAGAATATGACTCAGTTGGTAAAGTGCTTGCCACACAAGCACGAAGACCTGTGTTCAATCTCTAGTACCTACATTAGAGAGTTGGGCTCAGAGGCACACTGCTGTAATCCCAGTGCTGAGAAGGCAGAGCCAGGAAGCTCCCTGGGGCTCTTTTGATAGCTGCTCTAACTGAATTAGTGAGCTACTGGTTCAGTGAGAGACCATCTCAGAAAAATTAAGTGGAGCACAATTAAGGAAGGCAGGTGATGCCAACTTCTGGCTTACACACACCTGCACACACACCTTTATTTTGGCAAAAGCTCACACTGTCCAAAGAATATGTAGGCCCTGACTCTCCCATGATTAATACTTATTTTAGACCAGAAGCAAGGCAAATCAGGCAGGTGCTTACCCCAGATGTCTTACCAGTAACAGAAATGCCTTGCTACTCAGTGTGGTCCATTGCTAGCCACATGAGCATCACCAGAAGCTTGTTAGAAATACCGATATTTGGGGCTGGAGATTCAGTTGATAAGAGTGCTCCAATTGCTAACTGCTTGTGGAGGAGAAACCAGTTTTCTCCAACAGAGTCTCACTGTGTATACAAACCACACTTAAGGACAGGTCTCATGCCCAGCAGTAGATGGCCAACACAAAATGAACTCAGTAGCATTTTTGGAGGTTTCTTTGTCTCATAATGTCTGTCTCATAATGTCTGGGCTTATATAGTATGTGTTTCCAGTTTGTGTTTTTATGGGATTTCTGTGTGTTCTAGTGTGTGTGTGTGTGTGTGTGTGTGTGTGTGTGTGTGTGAGAGAGAGAGAGAGAGAGAGAGAGAGAGAGAGAGAGGAAGGGAGAGAGTCTATATGTTTTCTTGTGGTTTTTCATTGGCCTTTTTTTCTGTTTGTTTTTTCCTGTTTTGTTGCTTTTAATCTTGTTCTTAATGTTATTATTTAGATGTCTATTTTCTAATGAGAGAGAGCAAGAAGGGGTATAACTTGAGTGAGTAAGGAGGTAGGGTGGATATGTTAGGAGTTGGGAGCGAAACCTGAGTCAGAATATATTGTATGAAAAAAATCTATTTTCAATTGAAAGAGAGAGAAAGTGTGTGTGCTTGCCAAGCACAAAGCCCTGGATTCAATACCCAGCACTAAATAAATTCTGGTATGGTTGGTGCATGCCTATAATTCCAGAACTCAGAGGGTAGGTGCAAGAGAATCAGAAGTTTAAGGTCATCGTTAGCTACATAGCTACATAGCCTAGGCTATATGAGATCCTGTCTCAAAAAAAAAAAAAAAAAAAGGCTGACTTCCTTGTTCCATGTAGACAGGAGCTATTACAACCTGTCCCACACCCCTATCACTGAGGATTGAACCCAAGACTATAAGCAGGCTAGGCACTCTACCATTGGACCCCACAATCTGCACTCTAACAGGAACTTAGCTGTACCTGTTAAGTTTCTGGAAGTCCTGGTAAAGAAAAGGCCACCTTGGAAAGCCACACCATCCATGAGTCTGTGAAAGGTTCTGAGAAAGCCTGTAGCAGCTACACTGTTGAGCAGGCTTCACTGGGGCACCAGGCTCTTGTAATTTACTGTGCTTTACTTTGATAAATCATGGATGTGAGTTTCCCAACCAATGGATAATTGAGAAGAGTGTGAGTCTTTCTATTCCCCCAGGCTCTGAAGTCTCCACGAAGGAAGAGTCTGACATTGACCAGAACCAGAGTGACGATGGCGACACTGAGGCATCACCGACTAAATCTCCATCAACACCAAAATCAGTCAAAAGCAAAAACTCTTCAGGTACCATTCCCCAGTGTGGAGCTGAAAGGAAAGCATCATCCTTTCATCCTTTCAATGTGCATGAAGAGAACCTAGGTTGCTCTTATCTTTCAGATAAGGAAGCAAGGCTGGGGTGTGGCTCAGTGGTAGAGTGCTACCTGACATAGATACAGTTCTGTGTTTTATCCCCACCATCGCAGGCAGGGAAGGCTTCAGAAGATAGTGGCATAGCCCACCCATGTTTCATACTCACAATCCTGCAAGGTTCTTGAACAGCCTACCTGCCTTCTGGTCCCCATAAACACTATTGTACCCCCCAGGAGGGCTCTGGAATACCCAAGGGTGGGAGAAACTCGGGGGTCCTCAACTATCAAGACAGTCTTCCTGCCTCCATAAGAAGGAAGCTTAGCATTCCCAACTTGCTCCCCAAACATGGGGCAGCTCAAATCCCAGTATCCCCTGCCTTCCATGCCTGGTAAGAAACAAGTAAAGAACAGGGCTGCCTGGCTTTAGAGGAAAGGTACCTGAGCCCTCTTCAGCCCTGCCTGACTTCTTGCATGGCAGTAAATCTCAGGAGAAATAGGCATTGAGGCCCAGATGTGAGTGGTGCCTGTAATCCCAGCGCTTGAGACATCTGAGTGAAGGGAAATGGGGAGTGACGAGCCAGCCTGGGCAACTTACTGAGCGTTGTCTTCAACCAAGGAGGAGCTGGAGGGAGAATGAAATACTATCTCAGGGAGAGAGAGGGAGGGAGGGAGGGTGAGAGAGAGAGAGAGAGAGAGAGAGAGACAGAGACAGAGACAGAGACAGAAACAGAGATGACCTCAGAAATGAGGGAAGGAGACATCTCAGAGAAAGCAGGGAAGGGAAGGGGTCGGGAGGGGAGGGCAGTGGAGGGGAAGGAAGGGAAGGGACTAGCTCAGAGTCTTTAAAGCAAGCCAGTTGCCCCCAGGCTCAAGGACTGGTACTTCACTGTGACAGTGTTGGTTGCTTTCTAGAGTCCCACCAGATGAAGCCAAAGTGTTCTGGGGTTGACCCCATGTCTGTTTGTCATCATTGCCATCCGTAGGTCCCATGTTTATACAGCTTTTTGAACTTTCTTCTGTGATCTCTTTATATCCACCTTTGGACATATCCTTACTGTCCAGAGGAGATCCCCGAGGCTACAGAGTTGAAAGAACTTCCCCATGGTCATACAGCCAGTGAGAGATGGGGAGAATTTCAACCCAGGTCCGCAAGTGCAATCTGTTATCTCAGTCCCACCGTGCCCATAACCCTGTCAATATGAATTATGACCATCAGACTTTATGTGGGTGGTGTGTCAGTCCCCAGTACCCTGAAAGCAGAGAGCTCATGATGTTTTCCTCAGCTGGCCTGGGCCCAGCAAGGCCAAGAAGTGACAGGGCTAGAAGTCCTAGAGAAAGAGAAAGATGGCTCCCAGTCTTCTAAGCAGCAGAGGCAGGCTGAGCCTTCCTTCCCTGGGATAGCTCTAGGAATATTGTAGCACGACCCTTACAGGGAGTAGACCCCCACACTACCTCCTGAGCCCCTCTCCAGCCTTGGGCATAGAGGAAGAGCTTCCACTCTTGAGGTTGGGCTGTCCTCCAGCTGCCTGAATGTCTGCCAGCCTAAAGGACTGAGGAATGGCTGAGGGTCAGCTCCCTCCTCTCCACAGAATTCCCACTCTTTAATTTCAACAATGGAGTCGTGATGACATCATGTCGTGAGCTGGACAACAACCGCAGTGCCCTCTCAGCTGCCTCTGCCTTTGCCATAGCCACTGCGGGAGCCAACGAGGGCACCCCAAACAAGGAAAGGTTTCCGTATCGCAGGATGTCCTTGGCCAGCACAGGTGTGTGGATGTCTCTGCTTATGGGTATTCCTATTCTCCATGGTTCTGTGGCAGGGGTGACAGCCACCGGCCCGAGACCCTCCCTTCCTCAGGTGTTAGGTGTGCATTGCAGATGCCATGGCGGTGCCTCTGGAGGGCTCCCTGCTCAGCAAGCTATCCTCACTCACTGGACATGAAGCCTTGTTCTCTGTTAGCTGCCCTATTGTCCCTTCCTCCCATGGAGGCTGGGATGGAGCCCTTCCTTCTGCACCAGCTAGACTCCACACACCCAGATCTGCAGCCAGGGCCACTGTGTGTTCAGGGTGCAGCCTGTTCTGCACCCTCCCTTCCCACATCCTATCATCAGTGGGATATAGTCTCAGGTGTATTGCTTGTCAACCCCTAGAAGGGTGGCCTTAGCACACACACGCACACACACACACGCACACGCACACGCACACGCACACGCACACACACACACACACACACACACACACACACACACACCTAGATTTACCCTCCCCTCTTTGCTCTTTGACCTGTTGCTACCCACTTCATCCCACTCTTCCCACAGGCTCTGCCAGCGCTGCCCTGCCATCCTGGAGTCCCATTCTTCCTCCCCAGTCCCCTTTGGTCCTTGGCCAAATTCTACTCACAGCCAAGAACGCCAACCGAGAGAGCCCTCGGCACCCACTTCCACAGCAACGGTTCCACACCAAAGGTTAGAGGCGGGGTTTCCTGGAGAACTCTGGTCTTGGGTGCCCTGTATAATCTTGTTGGTGGAAGCCTCCTGAACCTTCTAGATGCAGCAGGAATGACAGAGGTTGGCTGCTGAAGAACTGCATCCCCTGAGGCTTCACGGCCTCTCATTTGGGCTTGAACCCAGTTGTTAAGTGCTCCCGCCAAGGCCCTCAGACAAACCAAGCAGGCTCCACTCCTGTCCTTCTCTCCCTCTACCGCTAGCGCTGCCAGGGTTTCCCCCTGACCAGAGAAATGGCGACAAGGAGTTCGTGATCCGCAGAGCTGCCACCAATCGTGTGCTGAATGTGCTCCGCCACTGGGTCTCCAAGCATTCTCAGGTGGGTGGGGCTGTGCTCCAGGGACAGTTGCTTCCCAGTGGCAGTAAGTGATAGCAGACAGTAGTAGGTCAGAAGGAGGAAGGGGATCCTGTTTTTCCCAGGAGGGCCTGCTCAGATTCCCCAGGGAAGGGAAGCAAGGACAGTCAAGAAGACAAGGGGCCTCTGTTTGGCCACCTGTCTTCAGGTAGAGTACAAGTAGGCTTGGGCCTCCCTGACTTGGGGGTACAACAGCTAAGGGGTAGTATTGGTCTTGTGTCAGCATCCCGTGCTTAGGAGGCTTGAAGCCCCACTTGTGGCCTTGCTGGAAGTAGTGACAAGAAAAGCAGGCAGCCACCATGGACAGAAATGGAAACTCCCTCCTTCAGCCTGGCCTCAGAGTACTGCAGGAACGATGTCTGTTAACTGTAGCCAGAGCTACCTGACCATCTTCCCACAGGACTTTGAAACCAACAGTAAGCTTAAAAGCAAGGTGATCAGCTTCCTGGAAGAGGTCATGCATGACCCAGAACTTCTGACACAGGAGCGAAAGGCAGCAGCCAACATCATCAGGTAAGAGCAGCATGGTCCTCCTGCTTAGGTTGACCTTCTGGGACAGGGGCCTGGCCTGTACCTCCATAGTAACCAGGTGTATCAGGGGTGTATCAGGGTAGATGTAAGCCCCAAACATCTGGGAGCCATGTCCCTTACTCTAGAGTCAGGCATGGATTGGATGCTCTGTGTACTTAGCCCTCCTGTCCCCGCCCCTCACCAGACCTTGATGGAGCTAGTGACATAGCTAGGTTGGTAGAGTGCTTACATAGGCCTGGGTTCAATCTCTAGCACCATGTAAACTACTATTGCTCTCCTGGTGTGCTTACTAATATCTTGCTATCATTACCAATGGATATAAACAGAGTATGGTGGTGCATGTCTGTGGTCCCATCTCTCAGGCTGTAATCTCAGCACTTCTGGGAGGCAGAAGTATGAGAAGTTCAGAATCATCCTTGGCTGCATAGTAAGCCAACCTGGACTACATGAGACCCTGTTGGGGGTGAGGGCGTGTACCACTTCTCTACATATGTCCATGACTGCTAGCACCTGTCCAGCGTGTGCACTCAAATATGATAGATACTAGCTACATACAACTATTTAAATCTCAGGGAACTAAAGTTGACTGCAATAAAATTGTGTCCCTCAGTCCCCAGAGCTTCAGTTGGTTAGAGGCTCCTATCTTAGATAGCATGGGCCAGCCCATCTCTTCACTACTGAGAGTTCTACTGGACAGTGCTCACTGCCATTCAGGTGACTCACTGTTGAGCAGAGAAGGCCCTTAGCCAAACCTCATTTTCTCCTCTCTAAAATGAATGAGCAATGCTGGCTTTAAGGGTGTAGTAAGGCTCAAGCAAGACGGTGCAGGTGGCTTCCGCAGGTTCTCAGAAGGTAAATGGCATAGGTGCGCTTTCCTATCCCAAGGCCCCATGTACAGGCCTCATCACTCCACCACAGCCTGGCCCTTGGTCAGTCATCAAGAGCCTACTACTCTTTCCACCCCATATTCTCATATCGTGCCCATGAGTTCTATCACAAAAAGTAAAGAGTTGGCCTGATGGGGAGGGGGGGGCTACCCTCACTTTCCACCAATGCCCAGGACTCACTCTAGTTAGCTTGAATATATGCTCCCTTACTTCTCTCTTAACACAATCCCATCTTGGGTACTTGGGCCTCTATTCTACTGTGTCACCTTATCTTTGGGCCCTCTGATCAAGCCAGGCCTGAGGGGCAGCCCATCTAGAAACGTCTCCTGTCCACTCTGGTCCTCCAAGTCTGATACTCCTTCACCACGTGTGTCCCATCATTCCATGTGCACACAGAAATGCCTGCCACAGGCCCAGCCTGACCTCAGAGGCCCCTGCCATTGTCTCTCTGGGCTCCAGCACATACACACACAACAGTTATGTAGGAAGCTCAGAGACTAAGGAAGGGACAGAAGGATCAAGAATGAGTCAGTAAAGCAGAGGAGAGGCAGAGAGAAGTAGTGCCTCTGGGTAAAGGCAGTAAGCAAGGGTCAGGGGTTGTGGAAGACAGGCCAGGTAGGGAAGATCTACCAGCGAGGTGTACTGGGGCTCACATGCTATCTTCTTCCTAGGACTCTGACCCAGGAGGACCCAGGTGACAACCAGATCACACTGGAAGAGATCACAACACAGATGGTGAGCGGGACGACCATCTCACCTGATCATCAAAGCAACCTCCTCCCCACCCTCATTACTCCATGACTCCCTTGACCAAGCACAGTCATCGCCTGCATCCATTTCCTGTGGCTTTGCAGCCTAGTGCCACAAACTAGTCCAGTGTGTTCCTCCCCATGTCCTGGAGCCTGGAATCCTAAAGTAAAGATGTATGTGGGGATATGCTCCCCTAGGAGCTCTAGAGGAGGACACTTGCTTGCCCCTGCCAGTTGCTGGTAGCCCTGTGTACCCTCAACCTCTGGCTGTGCCACTCCAGTTCATATCTCCATGGTCTTGTGTCCCTGTGTTGTCTTCCTTCTGTGTATGTGTCTGTATCCACTGTGTCCGTATTTCCCATCTCACAAGGACATCAGTCATGTTGGCCACCCTGCTGGCCTCACTAAAAATTAATTTATTACATTGGCAAGCACCAGGGCCTAGCAAATTTCTCCTTTACTGAGGAGCAAAATCTAGCCAGTAACACTGCTACTTTCCTCTTCCTCATCCACTGTGCCTCTTCCTCTCCCTTAACCCTCCCGTCTCTCTGGCATGCTTCTCGGGAAGGATCGTTGATGGATGCCTCTGTGCTGGACCACATTAGATTCTGAAAGACTCCAGGCTCTCTTGTCAGTGATGCTGCAAGTTTGCATCATTATCCCATTTTACAAGTGAGGCAACTGAGGCAGAGATCTAAATCACTCGCTCAGAGCTGTGAATGGGAAATGGTAGTTATATAGGAGTCACTGAACCTGCCCTGAAATGACAGGACCCCAGCAGAGAGTTGTGTACATCATGAAAGCATGAGTTAGGGGTGGCACTCCATATGCCATAGAGGAATGGTGGCCTCATGTACTTCCAGGGCTTAACTAGGATACTCAAAATGCCTTGGTGAACCCCACCAAAGATCCTGGCCACTGAACTATGATGGTTAGAAATACTTGAGACAGACTCTGACCTCCCCAGAGGTGGATCTCATGTTGTCAGCTCGGCTTCAGGCTGACCAGTGTATTAGTATCCAGTATAAGGGCTTAGGACTCTGAGCCCTGGCCCCTCTCCTGTCTCATCACTCACCACTCTTAGAGAATGTGGATAGAGCTCCCTATCCACATTCTGGCCAGGGAATAACAGCATGGCTGGTGCTTCCCGGAGCCTACACAGTTCAGTGACCCACCAGGACATGGAAGGTGGTGGCACCTAGACATTACTTACTACAGATTGATCCTCTGGGCCAGGATGCTGGGCAAACCTCCCCACCACTTCCCCAGTGGAGAGAATGCCTCGTGCTCCTGTTTGCCTGGGTGGAATGTACAAGGATCCTTCTCCTTTGTAAATGGCCTAGGGTGCTTCTAGAACTAAAGGTGACTGAGCCCCATCTCTGTGCACCCCAATCCCTGACAGGTCCCCAGAGCCTTTGAGTGACAGGTCCAGCTTAATGGAGGCCAGTGACTTCAGTGAGAAGTGCCACTTTATTTCTTACAAGCCTTCTGGAAGGTGACAGAAGTTGTCACTCTGCCCTCTACTTCCAAAGCCACTTTTTCAAGACCCGGGCAACATCAAAAGTGAGGAAGAGGTCGCCTGTCCCTATGCAGCACCTATAGCCACTAGGCCACTGGGCCACACCCCAGTGTGGCCTCCTGGACTCTTCTGTGACCCTCACTGCCCTGCCATCCTGAGCCCAGCCCTGAGGCACCTACACAGGACCCTTAGGAGTGACTGTAGCTGAGCTGCCCACCTTCGGAGGGCCCATCCCCAAGAGCATACAGGAGAAATGCCGCCACAGGAGTCTTGTCCTGCACCCCGGCCCCTGCTGCCCACGTTTGCTTTGCCCGCCTAAGAACTCCTTCTCCCCAATGTAATAGTGCTCCCACACCCACAGTCCTGCACCTGGGCTTCTGTTCTCTGCCCTGGTGACTCTGACAGGAAACACCCATGACTGACCTCCTGCCACACAGAATCTATTGTCCCCTGAGTCCTCGCTCTGTGAACCCCCTGAGCCTGAATCATGTTTGCAGGTCTACATATCTCCAGTGTCTGCCACCAGCCTAGCAATGCATACCTCACTGATTGCAAAAGAAATGGGGGGAGGGGAACAGCAGAACACTCAGCCTCTAGGAATGGCATGTTCTTTGGGTGTGGGTGGACACCACTTACCTTTTGATTGGTGCAGACAGGCTACTTGGGCACTCAGCCAGCTGCTGTTGGAATTTCTGGGTGCCGTGGGGTAAGTGGAAGAATAACAAGTCATGAATGATTGGCGGGCCCATCTCTAAGCCCATCTCTACCTTATAGGCCTCCCCTACAGTGTTGTATGACCCAGATGGCCCCAGCGTACAGGAGCCCTTTAATCTGACTCACTCCTCAGTGGACCTGGGCTCCTCCCAGCACCAGCATAGCTGTCCTTTCCTCTCCTCCCCACCCCCAGCTCCCAAGGCCTCCCTCTGTTAACCTCCATCTAACTCCTGCTATGGGTACCCTTGTCCTTGACTAATGTTTCCCTAAGGATGTTTCCTGGTCAAGGAGGTCCAGGTGACAGTTCCTGTCATATCCATGAGTAAACCTCCTAAGTCAGGGACATGGTAGCTGACAGCTTTCTTCTGCTCACAAGACGGGAACACTGCCCCAGGTGCCAATCACACCCCAAAACCCACAACCCACACCTACTAATGAGTTTCAAAGAAAAATTATGTTGAACCCACCTGGGGCCAGGTAGAACCCAGAGGAAGTGGCCCATCACAGCTGGGACCAGATTCCCAAGCTTGCTTGTGTCCCAGCCAGCCAGTTTCCATTGGAGCAGCTGGAGCAGGCTTTGGATGCCTTGTAGAGGTGGCTCCCTGCAGAGTAGGTGACCGACTCCTCCAGGGAGAGTCCTCTGGAAGCACAGAATACACAGGATACACATATACACAGGGTGTAACATGCCATTGGGACCAACTTCCTCACTGTTATCCCACCCACCCACCAGAACAGAGAGGAGGTTCTCAGAAAAGTGTCAAAAGCCCAGAATCCCCTCATGGACCTGACTCTGACCTTGCTCCCTCAGGCAGAGGGCGTGAAGGCTGAGCCCTTCGAAAACCACTCAGCCATAGAGATAGCAGAGCAACTGACCCTGCTGGATCACCTTGTCTTCAAGAAGATTCCTTATGAGTAAGTGGATATGGCTGCCTGCCTCCTCTTCTCCTCCTCCCTCCTCAGCACATCCCTGACTCAAGCTGTGTGAACTCTTCTAAACTGGGAAAGAATGTCCCTCCCTGTTCTCTTTACCTATCACCTGTAAGTGCACCCCCCTTCTCTGTACACACACTTTTCCAGGAGAACCCTCTTTCTGAAGGTGCAGAAAGAATACATGTTCATTTGCCACAGGCATGAATGTGTATGTGTGTGTGTGTGTGTGTGTGTGTGTGTGTGTGTGTGTGTGTGTGTGCATACAAGCCCTAGGAACAAATTTAGGAATGGCTCTTGACTTTGATGAAGCCTCGGGCCTGCTGCTGGCTGCCCTGTCCTGTCTTTAGTCATCCTGGTATTCTCTGTAATCACAGTTTTATGTCTCTCTCTTCATCTAATAACCAACATGCATTTGCAAACGCTGCCCATGTGTGTGGTACTCTTTAGCAGTGCATCCAAAGTTACGGTGGTTTTCCTTTCTATGTTTAAAGCTGAATTAAGCAGCCTCCCAACCAAGGCATTCCTCTGAGTTTCCAATAATTATTACATAATTATTTCCCAACATTGGCGTCACCCTGTCTAAGGCCACACATCACTGGAGCACTCTGTGCATTTAGTTTGCCCCACAGGCGTGAGTACAGTCTCACCTAATGACACGGTTAGCCTGGAGACTTAGAAACCCCAGGATGTGCAAGCAGTGTTTCTCCTGCCTCCCTCCAGCAGCAAGAGCAGGGTTGATGTTCACAGCTGTCGCCGCCTCCATGCTGCACCAGCCTGAGGACTTCTCCCAAGCACCTCTACTGATCACTTGAAGCCTGGGCAGTCTATGGCCTCCCTATTAGGTTCTTTGTGCCAGAACACAATGCTTAGAACTGGTTTTCAGTTCTTTTATCCATTTATTCTCTTATGTCCCACCTTTTTTTTCTTTTGGTTTTTCAAGACAGGGTTTCTCTATGTAACAGTCCTGACTATCCTGGAACTATCTCTGTAGACCAGGCTGGCCTTGAACTCACTTGTGTCTACCTCCCAAATGCTGGGATTAAAGGCATGTGCCACCACTGCCAGGCTACACCCTACCTTTTTTGTATAGTGTTGAGAATTGAACCCAGGGCTGTGCACATGATAGACACACACCCTACCACCAAGCCTCTTTTGTGGTTATCTGTCACCTCTGTTCTGGAGACCAGCTACTGCAGCGTGACTAAAATGTAGAAACAAGATCTATAGCAAAATCTGGTATGCCTCTCTGCTTCACAGCAGTGGTCGGCCATCCCATACCTCACGATGGTTGCATGAGGAAAGTGTTACTGTTACACTCCCATTTCACAGATGAGTAAAGGACCCAAGATACCAAGTGCAGCATAGAGCTGGGCTTGAACTCAAGGTTCCTTCCTCCCTGGGCCTCCCATCTGCTGCAGAGCACTGCTCTCCCATAAATAATCACCTCAAAAAGCAAAGAAGTGACCTCAGACCCAACTCTGAGTGAGCAAGGCAGAGCTGATTTCTTCTGCTCAGGGTTTCCCTTTCCCCTCTGCAGGGAGTTCTTTGGACAGGGCTGGATGAAGGTAGAGAAAAACGAAAGGACGCCTTACATCATGAAAACCACCAAGCATTTCAATGACGTGAGTACGAGTGTATGCACAGTGACTTTCTGTCAGGGTTTATTTTTTATCATAATTTTTATTTTAAAACACTCTTTTGTCATTTTACATACCAATCCCAGTTCCCACTCCCTCCCCTCCTCCTGCTCTCCCCACCTTCCCCCCACCCCACCCTCCATCCACTCTCCAGAGAGGGTATGGCTTTCCATGGGGAGTCAGTGATGTCTGGCACATCACTTTGAGACAGGACCAAGGCCCTCCTTCCTATATCTAGGCTAAGCAAGGTATCCCTCCAAAGAGAATAGGCTCCAAGAAGCCAGAAACAGCTGGCCTGAGCTAGTGGGAACTCACTGACTCTGGACTGTTAGGTTTTTTTATTGGCAGGACCACCAATGCGCTGAGTGGAGGGCGGGCTGGCAGCACACACCTGTGCTACACCCCACCTTCAGCTGTGTAACCAGAGCCAGCTGCTTCACTTCAGTCTTGGTTTCTTCACCTGTTAAGTGGATGAACATGAAAGGGCCAAGTGAAGATCCGCTGGGACAATCATACAGAGCCATCAGCCAGCAGTGGCCCTTGGGGAGCTCCCTCAGGCCTGTGATCGCCTCAAGGAGCTCCTCCTAAGAATAGGGTCATGGCAGGCCAGCAGCAGAAAGGATGGAAAGAAGGGCGGGTTGGACAGAAAAGGCCAAAAGTATTCTTGCTGCGTTTCTTATTTTCTGACCTCGTCTCAGGCTTAGAAAGAAGCAAACTGAGTCTGGAAATGGCAGACAGTTTCCCTAGGATATGAACGGTACTCAGACCCTTCTGACTTCCCAGAATGTTTTCTCAGAGTTTCATCCACATGATGATGTAATGTCCTGGCCACCACAGTGACTTTCATGGTTGGTAAAATGGCTCTGCAAGTTAGCACTGAAGACACTAGAGACCACGGAGCTGCTGAGAACAAGGTTGGGTTTGAGCCAAGGGCTTGACACTGCCCCTGGGAAAGATTGGTATGGCCCTGCATCTGGCTCCTCCAGTCCCCATCTCCCAGAACTCCCTCTACTATTGACTTCCCTGAAGGAGAGCGGTTAAGAGGGGACCAAACACAAAAGCAGAAAAGTGGCCTACGTATTTGACAAAAAGGGCTTGAGCTGACTCTGATTAAGGCACTAAGATCAGATTGGTGCATCACACACACACACACACACACACACACACACACACACACACACACACACACACACACACACACACACGTGCTCACACAGGGACAGACACACACAGGCATACAGTGTTCCCAGGATCTCTTCCCAAAGAACTGGGGCCAAACAGGCTTCAGAGTCTTCTAAGGAAGGTTCATGGCTGCAAGGGGCACTTGCAAAGTTCTTTAATAAAAATAGCCTCTATTATTTCCCATAACTGCCTAGGCCCATGCTCTGTATGCATAGCAATCTCATCTGAAGCTTACACCACCCCTAGGAGATGGACGCTTCTCTCCCATTCAAGATCCTGAGGTGCCAGGTTCTGGAAGGGTCTGCTGATTGGCATGTGGCAGCACAGGCGTTTTCCATTGCTGCACAATGGAGGATGACAACATGAGAGAGAGAAAATACCCCTGTGCAGACACCTATAATCCCAACGTTCAGGAGGCAGAGGCAGGAGAGTTACAAGTTCAAGGCCAACTAAGTCTGTATCACAATATCTTATCTCAAAAAAGGGAGGGATATAGCTCGTTGTTCGGGTGCTTACCTAGCACATACAGGACCCTGAGCTGAAAAATAAAATCTCTCCCAGCAATTTTCCCACATGGTGCTCCAATCTCTGCACCCATGGGACTCATTTTCTCCTAGCCTTGTGCCAGCCATGGGAGCATTTGCACACAGTATCTTCATCCTCTGAGTTTAGTCAACATAAGTAAACAGCCTTTTATGGTCAGAGGTGGGAGCACATGATGTCATTTGTCCTGACTGCCTGACTACACATATCAACCCCAGAAAAAATGGGGGCGGGGGGCTGACAAACATCATCCAGGAGGGCTCTTTTCATCCAGGAAAAAATGAGAAAGTCACAGTTTTGCAGTGCCGGGAAGGAAGGGAATTCCGGGCCCTGGCACTCTGTGCACCCATGATGGAGTAAGTACAATCCAGGAACAGGATGCGTGATTACTGTGTAGCACTGGGGGAATGACTTCTCCTCTCATTTAACCCATGACACCAACTCTATAGAGGAAGAACCTAAAGCCGAAAGAGATTAAATGGCACTGCCCATGTGACACAGCAGAAAAGTCCCCCTTTGAACCCATGAAATCCTCTGGAGCCTACCCTGTGACTGTTTGGCACTTGCCATCTCTGTTCACATCTGTCACCCTGTTCAGAGACAAATGTGAGCCTCTGCAACAGGGGCTGTCTTAATCTCTGACGTGGCTCAATTTTCTGTTACCTAGCCCTTGGCCTCTAATGTTTTTGTCCTGTTGATTGGCTCTGGCTAGAGTCTCCAGCACTAGGACCAGACTTGGGTGAGACAGGCATGCAGCTGAAGGAGCCACCTACCCACCACACATGCACCCTGGTGCCTCCATCGCCCCAGCTCTCTGCAGAACAATGAGGAATGGAGATCGAGACAGTGTGCCTTGTTCTTGATTCTGCAGGAAAAGCTTTTAATCTTCCCCTGTGTAAGAGGAGATAAAGTTAGAAAACGTCCTTCCTATCCCTTCAATGGCAATACTTTTTACCATGAGTGTTGACTTTTTTCTTGTTATTTTTTTCTCATTTATTTCAATGTGTATATGTGAATGCCACATATACACATTAATTTTTTCACCATCAATGCATATTGACTGTTTTTTTTATTTTTCTTATTTCTTTTTAATGTCTTTGTGTGTATGCCTGAGTATAGTTATGTGTGCCACATGCATGAAGGTGCCCACAGAGGCCAGAGAGGGCATCAGGTCCCCTAGAATTGTAGTTACAGGTGGGTATGGGCAACATGCCATGAGTGCTGGGAACTGAATCTAGGCCCTGTGAGAGAGCAGCAAGTGCTTTTAACCAGTGACTCATCTCTCCAACTCACACACTGACTTTTATTCACTGTTCTAGAGCCACTGAGATGGTCATGTGGTTCTTCCCTCCTTTAATCTATTGATATGGTAAATAAGAATTACATAGTTTTTCTAAATCTCAGTGATCCTGCCATGGCATAGAAACAGGTGCCTGACTTTTCTTTCTTGTGTTGCCCATCTCTGGTGCATAACAGAATGGTGTTTTCTGTAGAATAAAATGGTTTTCTTTATTCCAGTGTTTTCTATATGGAAAGATTTAACTACTTCAACTTAATTAGTAGATAGAACACACACACACACACACACACACACACACACACACACACACAGCTTTATGTGTTGTCATTCCCCCTAACTTCAATAGTTCTCAGTAAGTACAGACTAAAGTTCAGCATCCCAGACAATAAGATGTGTCAGTGGGAAAACCTGCTGCCAAAGCTGGTAACCCAAGTTCCGTGCCTGGAACCCACATGGAAGAAAGAGAGAACCAACTCTCTCAAGTTGTTCTCACTTGCACTGGGGAGTGTATCACCCACCCCCCTGCATGCACACATACACACAAAAAAATAAACAAATGTAAGAGATTAAGATTCAACATCCCTCCTTGGCACCCATGCCGTAGCAACTACTTAGAGAAGGTTTCTTGGAGGTGCAGCTCCACCTGTTTATATGCAATTGCCTCTCACTACCTTTATGGTTTCCAATAACAAGTCATCATTTCTTTTACCTTTTGAAAGATTTTTTAGGATTAATTTTTGACTAGTATACAAATGAATGTCATTGTGATGCCTTCATACATATATAATTAGGTATTATTATACTTCATTTACTTTCTATTTTAAAATATTATAGATTCAAGGCCGCATGCAGGGAAGTGGGTGTTTCCTGCCTCCCCAGCTCCTTGTAATTCTATTGCCCTGTGTTGGGTCCCCAGCTTCCTCCCCGATACCCACTCCAGTTCGAACTCACATGTGACTTGTTTGTGTGATTGTGATTGTTGGTGGGGTTTGGGTCTGGTCTACCGCATATGTGAGACCAAGTGTGTGTCCTATTCCAGAAGGGAACATGATGGGAATTTCCCTCAGAGCTGGGCTTGTCATAACTCTTTATTCTTCCAGATGAACTTTAAAATCACTCTGTCAAGATCCAAAGAAATCTCCACTGGATGTTTACTTGGTTTACATTGAACTCATGGGTTAGTTATGAAAACATGGTACTTACACTATCATTTGGCAATATGATCTCTTCCTCCATTACTCAAGCCTTTTACATCCTTTGATAACCTTTTTCTCCCATGTAACAACCTACATGGTTCTCATTAACTTAAATTCCAAGGTAATTCACAGATCTCTTGTTATTTTGGTTGGTGAAATCTTCATCATTATATTTTTTGCTTGTTTGTTTTATTTTTATTGAGGCAAGGTTTTACTGTGTAGCTCAGGCTGGCCTCAAACTTGGCAATCCTCTTGCCTATACATCCCAAGTGCTGGGATTATGGATGCATGCCACCATACTCACCTTTGTTGTACTTTTAAATTGTGGTAATCACTAATTTATAGGAAAATGTCTCCTCTTTATATTAAGCATTTGTTCTGGTAGTTTTCCAATTCATCATTTTGGGGGACATTTTAACAAGAAATTGTGTCTGCTAATAATGATGACTTCAGTATCTTTACAATATTTATTCCTCTTACCTTTTTTCCTGTCTTATTGCGTTGGCTTAAAGATCAGTAACTTGATCGCTTCAGAAATTATCCGAAACGAGGACATCAATGCAAGGGTGAGCGCCATTGAGAAGTGGGTAGCTGTGGCTGACATATGCCGCTGCCTACACAACTACAATGCTGTGCTGGAGATCACCTCCTCCATGAACCGCAGTGCAATCTTCCGGCTCAAAAAGACATGGCTCAAAGTTTCTAAGCAGGTGCGGGCAGGAAGCTGGCACTGCTGCCAAACGGGCCTGGACCGGGGCTGGGGGCAGGGAGACCAGAATCCACGGGCCTGAACAAAGGACTGAGCTGAAGGGTCACGTTTCCAGGAAGGACCAGGTATCAGGCTCACAGATGTGGCAATTCCGACTTGGGCAATTAAGAATCCACAGTGGGAGCTGTGAGGCAGTGAGTATTGGTAGCGATACTCTTCTTCTTGGTTTGGGACAAGAATAGTAACTTCATTAGGCTCTGAAAAAGCTTAAGCTCAGTCTTCTTGGGTGACCAAGTTCTATACGCTATGAGCACTTCAGCACTTCCTTGATGAACTTGGTAGGTGCCCCTACCCTGGCTTAAGTACCTGCAGGAGGATAGACAAGCCCTACCAGAATAAGGAAGCTTCTAAAGGCACCTATAAAGTGACAGTCATATCTGTGGTCTTTCAGCTGAGAGATCCTTTCGGGGAGCCAGCATTGCCAAGAAGCCTATCTGCAGCACTCTAGATTTGCATTCTGTATCCCCTTCATTTTTCTCTCCATCGCCTGTTTCTTGTTGTCTTCCTTGAGCCAGGAGCAGGTAGTAATCTTACCCACTAGCAGGCATCAGCTCCATAAATCTTCCACTTAGATAAGCAGCCAAGCCAGGAAAGCTTTGGGATGCTCATTCTTCTGTCCTTCCCTGCTTTCCAGACACCCCAGCCCCTGCTGACAGCTGAGCTGTAGAGTCTAGAGAACCACCACCACCACCCCTGCCCCTTACACCTCAGGGAGGCTGGGCCTCTTCCTTCTTGGCACATTGGGTATTCAGGGTTAGGGCTGTGGGAACAACTCCAAGAAAGAATAGAAGCTGGGAGCTTCAGGGACAATTGGCCACCCAGGCACATACTATTGTAAACTGAAATTAAAGGTTGACCAAAACAAAACAAAACAAACAAACAAAAAAAAACAAAAACAAAAAAAAACCCTGCAAAATCCCCAAGTCTTCTAAGTCAATCCTGTCCAGGTTTAGACAGGATTATAGGGAGCTCATTCCAGTTTAATATCTTATTCCTCCTTCTTGTACTGTTGGATGATGGCACCCTTCCAGGGATTGTCCAGACTAGGCTTTACTTCTTGCCCCCACTAGACTCTTCCTAGAATGCACAGGCTGTATTTCTCAGCCACATTCTTCAGCATCATTCTCCTCGTGTAGTTAAGGGGTATGGGGACACATCATGGCCATTCTGAAATCTTCCATTCTCTTTCAAGAGCAGTCTAAAACAAGAGCAGTCAATGTATGTGGCCTGGCCTTCATTCTAGAACATCATTCAGAACCAGGAGCCAGCAGGCCTGGTCTAATAAAAGTCAAAAATGCCTCTGGCAACACATACAGGGCTCAAGTTTTGATGATAGACTCAAATGGCTGGCTTCTCCAGCTTTTCCAGAGTTTTCCAGCCTGTGTAGTAGTTACACATCTACTCTGTGCTTGGCTCCAGTGGCTTCTGGAAGGCCATGTCTGTGGTCCCACCAACAAACATGATTATCTATGTTACCCATCTGTCTATCTATCTCTCTCTCTCTCTCTCTCTCTCTCTCTCTATCTATCTATCTATCTTTCTCTCTCTTTCTGTCTGTCTGTCTGTCTGTCTGTCTGTCTGTCTGTCTGTCTGCAGGCAGCCTGTGGACTCTTGTAGTGCACCAAGATGGCCACATTTCCTAGACCCTGAAACACAGTCTTATTTTTATCACTTTCTTCTGTGCGTCAACCCAATTCAGTAAAACGTGACATCAAGTCCAGTTCGGCCCTAGAGGAGGGTCAAGTATACTTTGAAATTTTTTGTTTCTCCTTTCTAATTTCAGTTCCCTTTACCTGTTGTCTTTCAAACATGGGGACATGTCTAATGTAGCTCCACAGAACAGCAGCTATGAGTGATTGTGCCTGTGGTTCCCTACCCCAGGAGGTTGTATCTGTAGGGACAAAAACCTGCTCTCAGCTCACTATGCCTTGGTCTCTTTGGCAGGAAACATTCTTCCTCACTTGATGTTTTCTGTTTGATAAGCAGTATTTTAGAGGCCACAGAAGCATCCTTCTTCTTGGCAGTACTCCTGATGCAGGCTCTTTGCTTGATTCCAGTGAAATATCTAAAGCTCCCCCCACCCCCGTTTCTTCCCACTAATTTCCACACTCAGAGAACTTCAAGATCCAGATGTCTAGCACCCCAGGGAGCATTAGAAGATGAGAGCTCCTTGTCCAGCCTCGGCATGTGACCTGATTTTCAAAGCGAAACACAATGGGAAGGCTCCACAGTCTCCCAAGCTCTATCCTCGATAGAGTGTGACCTCCCAAAGAGGATCTGTGTATACAGTAGGCACAAGGTTATGGAAGGAATCAAACTGTGCCTTGCTCAGAACTAGAGTTTTTCCCCACACATCAGAAATAGCCTATGTGAGATGGTTTGATAGGTAAAGGATGTAAGTTTCAAACCTGGTGTCCTAAGTTCAATCCCTGAGCCCACGGTAAGACTCCTGAGGCATGACCTGTAACCTCCACATAAGCCCCATGATCTAGCTTCTGTCTTCCAACATATACTGTATCTGAGCTAGTGTTTCCGTTAGGGACTATCTGAAGAATGGGACTTTGTTCTTGTGTGTGCTGAGTGTAGGTGGCAGAGTCTGAGGAGGCCCAGATCTGGTGCTAAATCTGATCTGAATCCATCTTGAGTCATTGCACTGCAGATGAGTGGACATGGAGAGGAGGAGGGAGCCATCCTCAGAAGGGCTGGTACAGGTAGTCACCAAGACCCTGGTAGATTGTCCTGGGAATGTGGACTTTACCAGGGTGCCAAAAGCCAATTCTAAAGGAAACTGGAATGCCTTCACTTTCTGTGGATTCTGTCCCACTGTCACACGGCTCTCTCATCAGATCAGAATGAATTTGTGCTTTGAGCAGGGTCAACCTAAGTACCTTTGCTTCCTCTCCTTATAGCTAAGGAGCCAAACAATCAATGCCTCTGTCCTCTCCTCCCCCTCGAAGGGTACACACTGAACATCCATCAGCATGAAAACTCACGCTGTCATGTTCTGTGACTGTGTCCCTCTAGCGATGAGTAATACTCCTGGTCTTGTGATGCATGGCTGTCCTCAGCACAGTTTCTCAGCTACATTGTGGATTTTGAAGGCCAGAGCTGGAATGGGAAAACTAATCCCTTGCATCCTTTTATAAATGAAGCAACTGAGGACCTCAAAGAGACATCTCAGAGACCAGACAGGGAGAGGAACGAAGGGACAGATCCAGAGCAGCGTGCTGCCCTGGGAATGTAGCTGTTCTTGCTAGACAAACCCAGATGCCCATACTCTTCCCTGCTCTCATGTAGCCCAGGTCTGGATGCTCGTTTCATATACCCTTTGCCAAGGGTTTCATCCTTTCTTGGATAATCGGCTCTTCTGTCATCCTTTTCCTCAATGCTTGACCTTGGATGGTGTTTCTGCTGCATCAAAGTGAAGGCATGAAAGAAAATGGTCAAACTCATGGAAAGATCATAAGGCTTGCATTATAACGCAATGGCAGGGCAATCCCCAGGTTCAGTCCCCAGCACTGGAAAAAGCAATCATGACCAGGAAAACTCTAACGTAGTTAGCTCCTGCTCTAAATGCAGGCTCCCTCAAGTCCTTCTACGTTATCACTTCTCAGGATCTCACCAGTTTCCAGGGTCATTACTCACTTTGGTGGTCTAGGAGATGTATGTGAAGAGATGAACACATGACAGGGATCAAGCCTGAGTCCTAAAGAGATCACGGGTGAGGTTGCCAGGCACAGAAAGTCCCCAAATCCATATGTGGCCAGAAGCCCTCAGGTCAGCATGTTGAATCATGGGCCAGAGCCTGGGCTTGGGGCCTGGGTGTGTGTTGAATGTTAGTAAATGCTTCTGGTTCCTTCTAGACGAAAACTTTGATTGACAAACTCCAAAAGCTTGTGTCATCAGAGGGCAGATTTAAGAACCTCAGAGAAGCTCTGAAAAAGTAAGTGGTACATCTTCATTGTTGTGTTTAAAACTGTAGACCGCATTACAGAGGTGTCTTCTCACCACATTCAGTCAGAGCAGGAGGTCTGCCTGTCCCTCTGCCTACCTGTAAGTCCCATAGACTCTCATCTTTTCCCTCCATTATTTACCAGAGAAATGCCAGAGCAACTTATCTGTGGTTGACCACAGAGTTGGTACCAGATTTCTTGATTCTTAAATGCAATTTTCCATTTTAATAACTCCAGTAACTGGTATGACAAGTCAATTTATTTAGTGCGGTTGTGTTTCTTGCTCACAAAAAGAAATAGTCATCAAAATGAATGCGTACATTACTAACAGCTGCATCTTGGAATCAAAGAAATACATTTTACTGATAGTTGATAACTTCATCTTACAATTTGCAGGCACCTCCCTGGCTGTAGCCATTGAACTCCATTGATACTGCCTGGGAAGTGGGCTACTTAGCCTCAGCATTATTGTCACTTGGTCCAGGATGGTTCTGTGTTCAATCCCACAATTGCCTATGCATTGTGGGATTTCTAGGTACACTCTGGCCTCACCCCATGGGATGCTAATGACATCTCTCCATTTAAGACTACGAGAAACATGTCCAAACATTGTGAACCCCCACCCTAAGGCAGCTCTTTCCAGCCTGTCTTTCTAGACAAAAGATGGGGACCCAGTGGCTATGCCAAGGTCATGTGACCATGGCATTAGAACTTGGATTTGGCCTGAGCTGGTATCCAAGATCAGTACTTTGCAGTCTGCCTTGGTCACTGTTTCATGCAGTTTGGAGACCTCTGACAAGAAAGCTATGACTCAGCTCACTTTGGCCACACATTCATGAGATGTGGGCTCTGAAAAGACACTGTTTTTATTACTCCCTAGAGATGCTTTCTTTCAGGCTGCCACATTAGGCCCCACCCCTATTTGTCCCTGTCTCACTGCTGGCTGGCTGGCTGGCTGGCTGGCTGGCTGGCTGGCTGGCTCCTCAATGGACCTTGGAGATGCTAGATCCCTATAGCTTCCAGGAACACTCTCCTCTCTTCCATAAGCGCCCCAATGGAGATCACCGCACATGGTCATGGGACAGCCAAAACCTCCAGCCCTTGACATTGGCTGGGATGCCCTGCTCACTCCGTCTTCCCAGCCAGCCTCTCCTGCCTCCTCTTCTTGTTTCCTTCCTGCCCTACTTCTTGTCCATCCTTCACTAGCTCAGTGTGCCATCGCCTTGACCATTTCCACTTTGTTTATGTCCTCAGACAGATGTTGAACCCATCTGTGCTGTCCGGCCGTCTCTCCTCCGCCTGGGCTCCCAGGAGCCCCTGTGGACTGTGCTTGTACGGAGCTGCCCCACTGTGCATTCACCAACTGTCCGTCTGCCTCTGGGCGTTGCTCCATCTGCCTCCTTCACACG